ATTTTACATGAAATTCTTATTAATACAATTAATACAATTAATGATATGATTCATATTTAAAAAAAAATAAGAATCGAATGTTGTAGAAGGAAAAATTGAATTATTGTCTTTCTTTCACAATATTCTCTAACGAATGCGCGCGAGGATGTATCTAGATTATATTTCTTTTTATTTTCTACTAGACGCTGGATCAATTTCGACGTGATAAAAAAGCGGGGCAGCAATTTTCTCTCTACTATATTAGGCCAGTCCCGCAGGCGTGTTTGTCTAACCGCAAATATGGGTTCGAAAGATTTTTCGAAGAAATCATGTATAACCAGCCTGCTCGATCTCGAGAAGGAAGTTCATCACGAAGGATTATTTATCGACGGTCGAGCAAGTTATCTCAATGAAGCGATTTATTTTTCACGATTTACTTTTAAACTTTGTATGCAAACAATAAAGTTATATATATTTTTAATTAATAGAGATAATAAGAACAAATTATCTGATTAAACTAATTTAATTGAAAGAAGTTACATTTTTTTATTAAAATTATATATCAAAAATTAGATTACAGATGTTTGTCGATGCATGTTTGAAATGAAACGAAACAAAGTTTTCCTAACAAAAGCCAGATCAGACATCTACTCGCGTTTCGGTACTCCGCGATATTTTTTCTTTTTCGAGACAAGAGGCAGATCATCCCTTGCGATTGGTCCTATCGTTTTCTCTCTGGATAAAATTCGGAAAAGAGTGCATTTCTTCTCGTTGGAACAAAACGCTCCCAGACGAGTTTCGGAGTTGAAACTAAAATGATATATACGCGATAAAAGAAAGATTGAAAGATATCAAAAATCTAGATTGGAAAATATCTGGTAGTAGTATAAAGGAAAACGACACGCCAGTTTGATATCTAGATGCCATCGCTTGAAAAAAATTTTAATGGCAAGTTGGTTAAAAAAAAATGCCTTATGATCTTGTTTAAATAAAAAAATTAAAAAAAAAATATATATAAAGTTAGAACTTTTATATACTCAGAGATATACTCATTCAAATAAAAATAATATTATTAATAAAAAATTTTTTAATATCATTATATACATATATTATTGCTATATCTCTATATGTTTTTTTTTATGAGGAAATAAAATCTTTTGAGAAAATCGACTTCTCATATATATTTTTTTCTACCTGAGTGATAAATAAAAAATGTTACTAAATTTTCTTTAATCATAGCATATTCCGCAAAGGTTTAATTTATTCGAGATAGGTTTAAAGTTTCAGTGTTTGTTTTAGTAACACTTTATTTTCTCGCAATTATATTGATTTATGAGAAGTGTAAAAATCAAGCTACATCTGAATTATTATAAGAGATGAGATTCAGTCGGAGTTAATTAATATCGGCGGCCCACAGGTCCGAAAACACTCTAATTCGCTCTTAAACGCTGGCGGTAAACGCCGGAAGGACTTGCCGATGCTACTTCGATTGATCGCTAATTGCGGCGATCAGCTTTACGAAAACAACTCCAGGCACTGACGTGGGCCAACTCTATGGCTTAATAACAGGAACCGTAGTAGAATTTCATACAGTGGCTGAGCGTGGTTATTAACTATCGGAAGGTTATCCGATCGACCAGATACGCTATAGTGGCCAACTCGGATTCAACAACATTCTTATCCATCGATCAAACCTTGCGCTTCGTGTAAGTTGAATTCTCATAAATCACTAAAGATTTCCTCTAGCAATGAAAGCATTATCGATCTTGAGCTTGAGTAAACTCGAGTATAACTCTTACATAATTGTATGAATATTGAATGTAACAATATTCAATTAATTGATACGGTTATAAATAATCGGAAAAAGATTATATATTTTGTAAAAAACTTAAAAACAGGAGATTTTTTATGGAAACAGCGATACGTTTAAAAAATTGTATATTCTACTGAGGGAAAAGTGGACACTTTGGAAACAACAGTTTCGAAAAATATAAAAGTGCGAATGAAAGAAAGACTTAAAAACTCATCAGTCCTCCATATCTCATTTCCGGTAGAGAAACGAACTCTGGTAACGAGAACATATAGAAAAGCATATAAGGCTATAAATTGGATCACGATTGAAAGAAACAAGCATCCGCTCCTGATGATTTGTCCGGAAACAATAGCTCGCTCGTATCTTGTGTTTTATTCACCGTCGGTTTACTCAACGCGAAATTCTTAAGCGATAACAACTTATTTAAGAGGATTTTTCATTTGATAAGAATGAAATTAGATAAAGTTATTAAGAGATAGTAATATACACGTTTAAAGAGCACATTATACAGAGTTCTCTCTTAACGTTATTCCATATTTTGGAAATATATGTATTGCCATTATCAAAAAATCTTCTTAATTAACGAGTTCAAAAATATATATAAGATGTCTCGATACCACCCTTTTTTTAATTGTACTGTTTGATTAATTTGGAATAGGACTTGACTTCTTTTTTCATTTTTAATCCACTAATATATTTCAACCTTAATTACACGCTCGCTATCTTAAATGAAAGCAAGACCTCTTTTCTCTTTTCCCTTTCTCGCCGGTTAATCGATTAAAGCGCACTAATTTGTGCGGCGCATAAATCACCACAGCAACTCTCTAAGCAGAATACAGCGACGTCAGCATCCGAGCGAGAGAGAAGAAGGACAAAGAGCGAAAGAAAAAGGGTCGCGGGAACGAGTGTCGCGAGCAGAAAATAAGGCACGCTTCTCGCAATTCAAGACACGCGGGATTATTGGGTCGAGAGAGTCTACGAACGCGCGAAGGGTGGATCGTTAAAACTGCAAGCTCTCCACGTTGATCCTACCCCTGGCATCTATATCACGTTCCCCCTGCGCGTTTTCAATTATTCCGTTATATTTTCAAGACGTCCTGAAATAGGCCGGTCGGTACTCGAGGTAGAGGAAGTTACGGCACGATTTTTGCCGGAATGCTTCCCTCAGCATCTCGAGAATTCAATGCGCGTTGCGTGAAAAATTATCGAGACATTGATATCAACTTTAATAAATTTTTCTCGATAGATTGAGAACTATTAAAACATATTTTAATTTATATATAGAAGCGTATGTGAATCTGATGAGAATTGTTTAATAAAATAAAAAATAAGAAACAAGTTGACGATATAAAGTTTAGAGGATAAATAGTATCCTCATAATTGTATTATATTATGCTTCTTAAACATAATTATATTTGAAAATATATTTTTGTGTAATTTATTGTTTAACCAATAAGAAATCCCCTATTCATTATCTTTTTTGTGTTAATGAACTAACTTTGAAAGAAAGTTTGAAAGAAACTTTTGCGCGCGCATACATACATACATGTATATATATACACACAATAAGATTCACGAGCTAAAAGCTAATTTAATCCTTATAGCACGAAGATTCTGTTCTAAAACTTTTAGTTTTACAAATATTATCTTTGCTTACAATATATAAGTTTTAACATTCTTTATAGATATTAATTTATATAATCAATAATATATCTTCATGATTTTTTAACCAGAATAAAAAAATAGATTCGAAATTTGGGTTGAACTATTTCAGAGATATGTGCAAAAAACACTAAATTTTTTTCTAGTTTTCTAATTGATTTTTTTTTGCGAACCAAGTTGGAAGGATTCATCACAAAATTTTGATTTAAATTTTAAAGTCGCAAAGTTTCAAATCTTTTAAATTACGAATCACCGAAACTGCCTTGTCGAATCAGGTTGGCAATGCAACGCGAGGAGGATCGGGAACGAGAGAAGTCGAGGACCGTTGTCCGATAACGAAGACGACCCCCTCGAGACGGATGAATAAACTCGAGACTAATTACCGCGATAAGTACGGAAGGAGCCCCGGCACGCTTCGTTGTTTCACGAAACTCCGTAATATTAACGAGCTGTGGCTGCGCACCACGACGTTCGATGCTTCAATCGCAGGAATACCTGAAATGTCTACCCGCAGTTACCGAGATAATATGTACATCGCACTTGTGTTAGGCGGTAACGTTTATTACCTTGCAGCAACGCGTAATTAAAGTAGGATAGATGACATTTAAGGCATACCTATTCCGACGCTCTCTGTTGAAAGAACGTTGTGATTTAACCGAGCCTGATCGTCGTTTATTAATCAATTTGCATGCGTTTATGACATATGCAGTTATGAGAGTCAGTTTCCAAGTAATCATTTATACTTGCATAAGTAAACTTATGTGTATATAAGTTTCTATTTGCGGGAGAAAAGTAACTGAAATCAATCACTTTGAAAGATGAGTGAACTTTTAAGACCACTCTCTCTCTCTCTCTCTCTCTCTTTCTCCCTCTCTCCGTCTCTTACTTTCTTCATAAATTTATGAGAAAAGTTGAAGAAATGTAAATTTTTTAATTAAGTTTGTAAAAATTTTTTAATTAATATATGTGTGAAAAATAATATATATACATCTTTCTAATCTTGACTAAAAGTATATTTTGTATATTCCATATAAACTATACATTTTAAATAAAATTATCTTAATTATTCGTCTAAAACTTTGTAGATGTAAGATCTTGGTGCATAGATTGTATTATTTTTGTAATATTTTCCCGGTATGCCTGAGAAAATATGTGAAAAATGTAAAATATAATACACACTAAACTCCTTCATATTCTCGCTTTAAGAAAATGATAAAAATATGAACTTCAACGCTATTATTTTCGCACGCAACACGTAGGTTGAACATAATGAAGGAGATTTCTTTTCTCAAAATAATTGCGGCTGCGTCGAACTCTAATTACGATTACGGCATTCTAATGACGATAATACCGGACGATTAATGTAGGATTGCAGAGGAAAAAGACATCTCCCGCATGCGATAGAGAGAAGGAAAGAGAGGTAGACAGAAAGACAGAAAGAGAAAGAAATAATAAAAAGGAATTGAAGAAAACGGTAGAGTCATAAAATAATGGCGCGTCTCTCGTGTCGCTCGCTGACTAAAATTACTCGCGTTACCTGTTTCAGTGTGCAACTGCAACCTCCACGCGAGAAAGTGCAGATTCAACATGGAGCTGTACAAGCTGTCGGGCCGTGTCAGCGGAGGCGTTTGTCTGCAGTGCCGGCATTTTACGGCAGGAAGGCACTGTCATTACTGCCGCGAAGGTTACTACAGGGACCCGGCCAGACCGATCACGCATCGCAAAGCCTGCAAACGTAAGTGCCCCCGACCGGCAATTACATGTAAATCCAACAAAGACACACTATGAGCAATTATGCGAGCCGAGGTAACTCCGTACGATTATTCGCAAGCTCGTGGCATGCTTAATTACACAAGTGACGGGACCGTCGAACTTGCTGGAACCGCGTCGCGTCCTATCGCATTATTAGATAACGTTAATAACGTATATATGGGGATTTCTAATGCTTCATCTCGATGCACGCGCGTTAAAGTACTAATAACGTTCGTTGGGCTAATTAGAGGATCCTACGAGCGTTTTCTTCATCGGACAAAACGATCCGCTTCCGATTTTACGCGATAATTAAGAATCTTTAATACTCTCCCCTTAAGAGGAGGAGCGTAAATAATTTTCGTTTCTTATGACGATTTATTTCAATAATGACACTCTTAGGCATCGTCTATTATTTATTTTAGAAATGAAAAGAAATACAAATATTATTTTTTATTTAAATATATTATTTATTGCAATTTTTTTCTTTCGACTGTAAGAAATTTTTCAATGCGCGCTTTCAGTATTCACGCGCGGAATCAGACATACAATATCAAAAGACACTATGATTTGCGCGAATGATTTAATCGGGAATGAACGACAGTGATCGACGCGTCGGTGAAGAGAGAAATATATGACTAAGAAACGACACGGCGCGGATCTTCTCCGATCGGAAATCAGCGTTTTTTTCAAACCGCGCGACGCTATCGGGAGAGACCCAGACCATTACCATTCGTCTCAGTCCTTTCGCGGTGCTATTACAAAGTGGTTACCAGCTGAGTAACCCCCTAATCTCGATGCATTCAATTTATGTACGTTTGTCTAGGCCTACGCGGACCGCCGCGGGGATAACGATCTCCCGGTGTGAGAAGGCGCGCGCGCGCGCATCGTGAACGCAGCATCACGTATAAGTGAGCATCCGAGAGCATAGTGCACCCCGTGTATAGGTCGTCCGTAACTGTACCGTGCTTGTCGGTTTAACCACGATGTAAGAATACCGAGTGTAACGGCGTGCGCATAATACCGTCATAAATCAGAAATTCGTCCCAAACGCGCTAGATCTTTCAAAATGGTGCTCTTGGAAACTTGGCGAATTGCTCTTTCTTTTCGATTGAGACAGTAATTCCATCACAGCGTGTTTATATCGCGATTTTTCAACGTCGTCTTCTATTAATACATTCCCTTGAAACGCGCGCAGCAGAAGATTGTATTAAAATAAGCTGTCTTTAGTAAATCGCATCATGTTGCTCTTTGCGTTTCTTTACGTTTTTCCGCGAGAATTTTCCGTCGTAGACATTAGTAAATAAATCGGTGAACGAGTTTCGCGTGATTAACTATGTATGTCACCCGGGCGGTTCGCGCATATTCTCGAACGGGGACTCAACTTGTCGCGTAGAGTCGCGAGGTTAATTAACTCTTTGCGGTCTGGCACGTTTTTAATGTGTCGACCGGCATTTATGCTCGCCACGAGGACCAGTTGTAAAGGAGAGATGCACGCACGAGCGTGCAAGTAAAAATTTTACTTGAGACTACCACATCGTTCAAAGGTGTCAGACACAATTCCGGCGCTGTGAAATATTTTATGACTTTTTCAGATACACAAGAGAGTAAAGCTACTAAAAAAGAATGACCTTTTTTAAAAAATTATATATGCTAGTTATTATATTGTTACTTTATTGTTGACTGTAAATCGTATTTTTTCTATGCTAGGAATGGAATATTTACATTATCTTAAAGTATTACATCGTTAAACGGACGGATTATCAAGAAATAAACATAATAATACAAATAAAAAATTCAATTTAATTACCTTGATATATAAATATGTAATATTCGAATTTCTATGCATGTGCATTATAATTAACTGGCTTAAATTCTAAAATGTTAACCGATTCATGGCTGGTCGGGCCCACCTCGTGCTCTCTCACAGTATTTCTGGCTGTAATATTATAAAACTCAAGTATCGTGCCGAGGGTCTGCGCGTGCTCTCGCTGGCGAGATAACGAACAGCCTGTATTCTCGTTAGCAGCCATGGCAGCCGTTAAGATAACAACGAGACACGACATTCACCGCGAACGCCCGGCGTGGAAAGAAGATTTAAGTTCGTCTTAGGACCAGCGTAAGTTTCATAAATTAATCCTCGGGACGAAGAAAAGGGAGAAGGACATCGCCATCGGTGTTAGCTCGCGTGGAACGAGTGTAATTTCCTTTTGATGCGTAATTTAAGTTTGAACTTTAATCGCGCTCCAAATTTGAGATTGCCTCTCCTTTCGTAACGATAATAAATTTTGAAATTAATCACTTGACAGATTGATCCGATTTCGGTTCGCTGGATATAACGACAAGCAAGTGTAATGAAATGTTATATAGGCAAGAAAATCTTTATCTCTTTTTATAAAGACGTTTGAAAGTTATGGAAAAAGTTTTATCTTTGAATGTGTAATAATTTAAGATATCAGATATATCGATGATTTTAAAACACTAACTTGATCTAATTCCTGGTTTCCACAGTAAAGACAGCGGAATGACGATGTTATTATATGATGATTAATATGGCGCCAGAAAGATAAGATCTTTCCGAAGGAAAAGCGACTTCGATTGAATAATTAGCCACGCTTACTAAATAAATTGAGATTTAACATCGAGTTAAGTAGTACGAGCGGTCGTATTTGCATGTCACACCACCCACCGGCTCATTTAAATAATCATGATTCAATATTATCGCTCTTGGTAAACTACCTTCGCGACATTAAATAATAAGTCTAATCGCATGCTAATGAATGTCGACTCAACTTGCTTGCGTGTAAGAAGGGAGCATGTCTGAACGAGGCGATATATCCGAAGCACATTATTTGTTACATAAATAAAAGCTATTTACATTATACACCATAATATAATCGAATTGGATAAGATCGAGAGGCGAAGTAGCTGCTATAAATTTTCACGATCTTTATTCAGTCTCTATCTTGTGATCCACATGAAATTAAATAGGAACGAACAGTAATATTTAGCGTCCAGCGACAACGATGATGATCCTGCTCGTTTTATAAGATATGCTTATAAGATATTCGCGCTCTCCTTTCTCAACATTCCATGTTATTACAAGCTCGAAAGACGCGGAAAATGCACATTTCTGCAATTTCTCGTTCTGTCGTTGCACCCGGTATTTCTCTCGTTGACGACAGTAACGTTTCCACGGTTAGTGAACTCCGAATCGGTTCTGCCGTCTGACCCCACTCACGCTCCCTCCTCGACAAACCCCCTCTCCCAAATATCGTGCTCGACATTTCCGCGGGAAAATACGGCCTCTGTCGACGTACCGTCAGGTCAGAACAGCGCCGCACGTTTCGAGATTTCCACAGTGACGAATGGAGAGATTCTCTCGATCCTCTCCTCTCTCGATTCCCCTCGTATCTCGTTTTCACTCCTTTCCCGCTTTACTTGTCTGCTCCACAGCGTCTACCACTTGTCCCGACCGTAAGCTCCTTCACTTTGATTCGTCCCGAGGGATAAAGTCAGCACTTTCTTAGAAGCTACTCTTTATACGTGTGACGCGGATACTAAATTAGATAGTGATTTATTGCTTATCGAGAGTTTTTCTAAAGGTTTTGTGTTAGTGTTACGTGTTGCGGATAATTTGTCTTTATAAGCCTTAATCTGTTTTTATAAAACTTTCAAGTCTTTCAGTACGTGTCGTCTTTTCATCTTCGATTTATTTGTTCGCTTAAAATTATTACTTTCTCTTGTCAATTTTTTTCTTGTTAATTTCTCTATTTTTTTACGAGATAATATAAATCAAATTATAATGATATAGAAGTCTGGTCAAATTACCAAATAATCATAGCAAATTCTTAAAAGGTTGTATATTTTTTTTATATGAACTTAAAGAGTTTACTTTGCAGTAATGAACTATAAATCTCATACAATCCACACAACACAATTAATTCTTTTTATCACTATCAATAACTGGATTGGTTAACGCCCTTTTTCTGAAGATTATGATCATACTACAATATTCCAACGTTTGTACGCATCATGTGTCTTGGCAACTGATTAGCATATGGCGAATCTTTTTGTTTCGAATCATTTTGCAGATCTCAGAATTACACAGTTCTGTTTTCCTTGTGTTCGATAAATATCGCAGGTGAAACACGATCGCTTTATGGTTTCTCTTTCTTTTTATTCGATCGCCGTCTCTGTTTTATTTCTTTCTTTATTTCTCTGTTTTTCATCTGATCTACAACTCTTCCCCTTATTCCGGTCCCGCGTAGATTTGTCATAGGAATTTGTTTTCTCTATACTATACAGAGAATTTATTCGTAGAATCCAGTTGATATCCCTGTAAGAGATTCCATAGGCAATTGCCAGTGGCGTAGTTTTTCGTTATTCAAGATTATATTTTTCATATCAATTTATATTTTTATCCTCTCGCTTCTAAGTATTAATTTCACTGCTATTTAAGAAAGAATATTAACAGCATGTAAAAAAGAATATAAAAAAAAAATATCTTTAAAAAACATACAAGGAAATTAATTTGATTATAAATTTTTTTTTTATCATAGTTATTAATATTGCTCCTGTCTTCTATGCCACTGTTAACTGTCCACTCGGCACAAAATGGAAATCTCTCGCGGCTTGCGAGATATATATATATATATGGCGATGGTGGGCAATGTATTGCATCGGTAGTAGAAACGTCCGATGGCGTCGTAATTTCACGGCTCACTAACGATCGTACTATCACACAACGGCCAACTGTTCGCGTGGACGCGCGTTGCGAGAGCAGTCACGGACAATTATTCCTCGCGCGAAGGGTATATATTGCGACAAGCCATTTTTATACGCGACCTTTGTGTCGTTGCGTGACACAGAATCGCCATCCTACGCCTGGCAAAAATAACATTCGGCGCTGTCAGAAATTACGATATTCGATCGAGCGCACATAGCCGTGATCTTTCTGTTCTACATTATACATTGATTCACTCA